CTATCTCTCTCTCTGTCAAATAAATAAATAAAATCTTTAAAAAAAAAAAATTATAAAGATAAATACAATCTTCAACCATCTGTAGTTCTAGTGACTTCCCTGCATATGGGACAAAAATGGATGTCAAAACCCAGAAGGATAAGACAGCAGGGATACTCCTTCATTCAGCAAAGATTTACTGAGCTCTCTCTCGGAGGCAGGCACTGGCTATACGCTGGGGAAAACGACAGTGTCTATGACACTGTCCCTGCTCTTTGGGGAATTCAGGACTCATGTCCTGAAAAGGGAATCATGCTGAGTTAGATTGCTTTCAGAATCACAAGTCCTGTGATCTCCTATTCTCCCTGTTAAGAAAAACTGCTTTATGAGCGACATGACCAGAAGGGGAGGACTCACATCAGTCTAGCTCTGCCGAAGATGCTGCCACACGCCTGCCATTTTGCCATGAAACATACTCAATCCAGTCAACCTTTGTACAGTGCAAATTCCTGCGTCTGTCTCAGTACAACAGTCAGGACAAATGGCTTGTATTGTGATAAATCAGTCTTATCTTTCTAAATGCCACAAGCCTCAGATTAGTATATGTGATCTCCTAGTATCGGCAAGTCTTAACCTATTCTTTGACAATTAAAGAGAAGGAAGTAAAAGTGACAGCCGTCCAAAGACATGTGCAAATAATTAAATATAAAAGTCAATCATTCATAAGCCCCCAATTCGGAGCGACTTGGTTCAGAGTAGGGGATTCCTCAGTTGAACAAGACTCATAAACTGTTTTCACACAAAAACGAAAATGAAAAGCCTGTTCATTCTCACCCCCACCCAAAAAACCAGACTAACACATTTTTCCTTACCTTTTTAAAGGCTTCAGGCATACACCTATCCATAAATCTTTTACAATTCTCATCAGACTCGGAAAGACCTTAGTAAAATAAATGAAACAATATGCCTTACTAAGATTTTAGGCAGTTTGCAGAAATCATATATATTATTCCAAATTCATACGCATGGAATTATTTATTTACAGAAACCTTGATTCTTAAGAGATTATTAAAAGCAGAATATAGATATATGCCGATGAAGGAACAGACTGACAATCACAGTATTAATGTATTTGTTAACAGCCCAATATATTAATATGTGTTAATTCATATACATTTGTTAATAGTGTAATAAATAATTAGAAGTGAAATGGCTGAACTTATGTTTCCACTGTCAGAGGAACTTCAAATGATCTGACTTAACGCCAACGGCCACCTCTTACTAGCTCTTGTTTTCCTTCTCAACAGATACCAAAATCACTCTTCTTCCCTTAAACCTACAGGACTCCGTTAACAAATGCAGAGAGTTGTGCCTGGCATACAACAGGTGATGAATATTTGCTAAGTGAATGAATGAAGCCACTGTAAGCTTATCCTTTGGAATACATTGTTTAAAAAAAACCTTAATAATGTATTCAGCTTGTCACTGGGAATCCTGTTGGACCCATTTTCTTTTCTTCAGACCCACCACGTAGCACAGTACCTACACCCTAACAGGCCAGCAATAAATGCTGCTGCTGAGAAGCCAGTCATCAGGCGCCATAAAAGGCCGTGGGAATTAAATCTGACCCGAGTCAAAATATTTCCTTTTGATGTGCCTCATATTTAATCACAGTGGTAAACTATGCACATACTTTTAATGAGGGAAAAAAAAAAATCACAAAACAGTGGACCAATTCATCTTATTTTATAACTGAACTGCATATGAAAAATAAATTATTTTTTCTTCAATGTATTTAGAGTCAAGAAGCTTCCTTATATTGACACCCATTTTCCAACCTGGAGGCATTTTATTACTCTGTTGGTTTAACATTTGTAAAGCACTCAAGACAGTGCCAAACATTTAATATGCACAAAATGGTCGCTAAATAAATATTACTTTCTTCTCCTAAAGAATAAAAAGCCACTGAATTGAACCTTAAAGTCCTCCAAGCTTTTGTGGAAAACGTTCATTTCAATTTCTATAAAGCTTTTCAATTATATTTTAAAGACTCTCATACTCTGTTGGAGCTAGAAGAAAACAGTTGGTTTAATTCAAAGCTTTTACTCCACAGGGGCTACACCAAGACTAGGAGAGTAAATGATCAAATAATATACAGATGGGCGATCACACAAGAGTGAAGATTAACGTCAGGCCTCCTATCAAAACAGTCCCCTCCTCCTGTGTCCTGCGGTGTGAGAACTTACCAAGTCTGGCCAGATAGGTAGACGCCAACAGGCATTTGCCTAGTGATTCTTCTCGCTTGTAAGGGATGGACCAGTGATCAGTCAGAACACGGCTTTCCAGTTCATACAAATTGGTCGTAGGGAATTCAATTCCTTCCCCCGAGCAGTTTCCGTTTTCATCATTCTTCTGACAAAAAGGGATTATGGTAAGAAAACAAACACACTCATCAGCGACTACTGTAAAAGTTTTCATTTGGGCACAGAGCAGACACTGACCCAATGGTAGCTGTGAACACTGAATGTGAATTCCCTATCTCTTTCTCATAGTCACATCTTCTGCCAGACCATCTCAGATCCTCCCAGCTCTCGTCATGGCAGCAGCCCCGCTCTCACAGAGGCCAGCTCACCTCCTTCTGCATTCTCTTGTTATGAAAGAGCACACCCACCTTCCCTGTCTTCAGAAGGGAGAGATTTCCCCAAAGAGTTCTCCGCACTGCTGTCTCCATCTCCTCACACGGACTCACCCCTGACCCCACACCAGTATGTCTTCCAGAGGCCCTACTCTCCCACAGCGGCTGTTGTTCAGGCCAGCACTAAGTCATTAAATCCAATGAACAGTTTCAGTCCTTCTCTTCTTTCTCGGCAGTATCTGCGCTTCTGCCCGCTCCCTCTTCTTGAAATGCTAGCTCATATCCCTCACCTCCCGGGACGGCACACCTCCCTGTTGCCCTCCTGTGGGTCTGGCTGTTCTGTTCTGTCTCTTCTGGTACACCCCCTCTTCCTGACCATCAAATACTGGAGCTTCTCAAACCTCAGTGCTAGGCTCTCTCCTCTCGGTGATCTCCATCCCAGGGAAGGGCAGCACAGCCAGAAATCAAGGATTCATTCTTAACGCTGTTCTCCCATCCCACCTCCAAGATCTGGTGATGAGACCCCCGAAATTTCTATCAAATCCATCTACTTCTGTCCACCTCCATGGAGATACCACTATTCCCGAATTCACCCGTCTACCTTCTTTGACCTACATAACTCCTGTGCATCCTTAACTCTTTTCAGAAAAGGCTTTCTGGAACTCCTAAACTATACTGAATTCTTCTCATTATTTTATACTCTTACCATCCTGAACTTCTCTTTCATAGCACTACTCACAAATTTTACCCTTATTTGTGATATATTTTGTCTGCTGCCACTAGACCAAGCCCCATGAGGACATGGACCCTGTCCAGTTCTGACTGCCTCTTCTCTCCAGAACCTGGTGCCTAACACAAAGCAGGTATTTAATATATGTTGTTAAGTGGAAAAATACTTCATGCAAACAAAGTTTCAACTATCAATAGGGTAACTGCCAGACTTTCCATCAGTTCTTACCACAGTAATTTGTTATAAAGCAAACTGGGCCCCTCCCCCAAACTGCCTAATACCTACTCTGGTTTCTTTAAAACCTAAATATTTTCACAATTCACTCTATAATTTAATCACTACAAAATAAAATCATTCCATTAAAAAATTACCTTTAGCCTCAATTAAGGAAAAGACCATAAATATAAAGCAGAAGTGATAAAAATACACAGAAGAAAATGATTTCCAATCCCATATGAGAGCTAAAGGAATGTGACACTTTTTTTTTTTTAGGTTCATGGTTAAAATAAGACAAAAAACAGAAAGGTGATGAAAAACTAAAAATGGAGTAGACAACAATGTAAACTGGAGGTGAAGGGTGGGGGTGGACGAAATAGGTTTGGAATCATAATGTATGGGGAAAATTCAGTTTTTAAAATATAATACTTTTCAGAAATACATGTAATTAATAAGTTCTGTAAACAAAACTTATTTTGTTACTGCTTTTCCTCAACTGTTGGAGAATAAATTATGGATATGATGCTCCTTCACCCCTAAATACTTCAGTGTGTGTTTCCTAAAAATGAAGATACTCTCTTTTTTAACCTTTGCACATTACCAAAATGAGGAAATTAACATTGATCCAGTACTAAAGTCCTTTGAAGCCAAGAAGTCGTGTAAAACCAAAACAGAAATTCCTGCCAGGAGCCCATATCACAGATACTTGTCTGTCTGGTCACCCTCAGTCTTTTCATGACTTTAACATTTTTGAAGAACACGGGCTAGTTATTTTTTGAGTGTCCGTCACGTTGGGTTTCCTCATGACAAGATTCAGGTTTGCACATTTGGCAGGAACAGACACACACATTTATATACACATGAACACAACACATGTATGCATACATACAGAAAGAGAATAGTAAAGAGACTGTGATAAAATGTTAACATCTGAAGAACCTGAATACAGGTTACATAAAAATTCCAGATTTATGGTAAAGTTGCAATGCACTTTTTTGCAACTTTTCTGTAAACCTGGAACTTTGTTAATCTGGAATTATTTCAAAATTAAAATAAAAACAATTTAGTCAGATGAATATATAAAGACACAGGATTTTGGAGCCAGAGAGATTCTAAGAAAATTCAGTATTTTACACAGGTATAACCTAATGAATCTAAAGAGGTGGGGGTGCACCTATAGTGGTTAAAAAAAAAAAAAAAGGTGGATTATACTTAGTATGCTCTACTTAAGAACCCCATTCCCATTGGTAACATAAATAATTTGGCTTCTAAATACGTCTACGTTTTTGTCTCAGATTACTAAATAAGTATACATGTACTTTGTAGAAAATACAGAAAATACGAGTAGCAAAAAATAAAACCCACCACTAATTCCACCACTTAAAAATTAATCACAGTGACATTTTAATAACTATTTTTCCAATTTCTTTACAGATTTCATTTTCTTAAAAATGTATAAATGTGGAACTAACCACCTCAACAGGCCCCATCATTCTCTCTCATATAAAGACAGCATTAATGTAGTATTTCTTCTCCTATCTGATTTAAAAAGCTGATGCACAAAGCAATAATTATAAAACTATGTTAATGGAGCAGTGTTTTGTATCCTATTGAAGTTAAGTTGATAGTGGGTGCCTGGGTGGCTCAGTCGTTAAGCGTCTGCCTTCGGCTCAGGTCATGATCCCAGGGTCCTGGGATCCAGTCCCACATCGGGCTCCCTGCTTGGTGAGAAGCCTGCTTCTCCCTCTCCCACTCTCCCTGCTCGTGTTCCCTCTCTCGCTGTCTCTCTTGCTGTTAAAAAATAAATAAAATCTTAAAAAAAAAAAATTAAGTTGATATTAATCTGAACTACACTGCTACAAATTCAGATGTTAATTATAATCCACAGGGCAACCGCTAAGAAAATAACTTAAAAATATATACAGTAAAAGAAAAAATAAGGGAATTAAAATGGTATACTCAAAAATATCTACTTAATACAAAAGACAGGAGTAATGGAGGATTAGAGGAACAAAAAAGCATAAGACATAGAAAACAAATAGCAAAATGGCAGATGTAAATTTTGTCTTATCAATTAAGTTGGGATTATCAGTAATATGTTAAATATAAATGGACTAAACACTCCAATGAAAATGGTAGAGATCTGCAGGATGAATTTTTAAAAAAATGATCTGTGGCTTGGTTGATTGAGCATCCAACCCTGATTTTGGCTTAGGTCATGATCTCAGGGTTGTAAGATCGAGCCTCATGCTGGGCTCTGCACTAAGTGTGGAGCCTGCTTGGGATTCTCTCTCTCTCCCTCTCCCCCTGCCCTGCCCCAACCCCCATCCCCACTTGCGTGCATGTGCACACACTCTCTAAAAAAAAAAAGAAGATAAAAATTTAAAAATAAAATAAAAAATGATCCAACTATATGCTATCTACAACCGACACGCTTCAGATTCAAAGACACAAAGAGGTTGAAATAAAAGGAACAAAAGATATATCATGTGCACATAAAAGAGTTGCAGTGGCAACACTAGTATCAAACAGACTAGATGTTAAGACAAACATAGTACTGGGGTGCCTGGGTGGCTCAGTCGGTTGAGCGACTGCCTTCGGCTCAGGTCATGATCCTGGAGTCCCGGGATCGAGTCCCGCATCGGGCTCCCTGCTCGGCAGGGAGCCTGCTTCTCCCTCTGACCCTCCCCCCTCTCATGCTGTTTCTCTCTCGCTCGTTCTCTAATAAATAAATAAATAAAATCTTAAAAAAAAAAAAAAAGACAAACATACTACTAAAGATAAAAAGGGATACTTCATAATGATAAAAAAAGGTCAAAATAGCAGGGAGATAAAATAAAAGGATGGAAAAAGACATACCATTAATAGAGTAACCAAAAGAGAGCTGTAGTGGCTGGCTACACTAATATAAAAAAAAAATAGATATTATGTGAAAATATGTTACTAAAGACAAGGAATTTTTTATGATAAAGGGTTAATCCATCGGGAAGACATAACAATTATAAAAATGTATGCATCTAAAAAGAGACTCAAAGTAAAGGAAGTAAAAAGTGACAGAATTTAAGAGAGAAATACATACTTAATATAGAATATTCCACCCAATCACAGCAGAATATACATTCTTAAGTGCACACAGAACACTCTTCAAGATAGAGCATGTTAGGTCCTGAAACAAGCCTCAAAAAATCTGGAAGAACTAAATCATACCAAGTGTGATCTCTGACCACAATGGAATGAAATTAGAAATCAACAGCAGAAGGAAATTTGGGAAATCTAAAAACATGTGAAAATTAAACAACATACTTCCAAATACCAGTGGGTCAAAAAACTTACAAGGGAAATTAGAAAGTGCTTTGAGATGAATGAAAATTAAAATATAACATAACAAAACTTATGATGCAGTGATTAGAGGGAATTTTTTTAAAAAGAAGAAAGATCTCAAATCAATAACTTGACCATGAACCTTAGGGAACTAGAAAAAGAGCAAACTAAACCCAAGGAAGCAGGAGGAAAGAAATAATAAGGATTAGAGTGGAAATAAATGAAAGAATAGAAAAAACAATAGAGACAATAAAACCAAAAGTTGGTTCTTTGAAAAGATCAACAAAAAGGAGAAATTTTTAGCCAGACTGAGCAAGAAAGAATGAGAGAAGACTCAAATTACTAAAATCAGGAACAAAAGAGGGGCTATCAACACTGACCTTACAGAGATAAAAACGACTATAAGGAATACTATTGATGATTATATACCAACAAATTAGATAATCTAGATGAAATGGATATATTCCTAGAAGGACATAAACCACCAAAACTGACTCAAGAAGAAACAAA